CACTATACAAATAGCTCCACACCCCTGCCCATTGAGCTAAACTGCAGCAGGAGCTGGGGCTGCTGCGGTCTTGGACTACAGTAGCAGTTGTGGGCTTTGTGGTTGCTCCCAGCCTGAGGATGAAGATTGCTTTCCCAGCTGCCACATAATTCCACACATAAAGCCTGCCAGGATGGAGGATTTGGTACATGTCGTGCTATGTATCTGCCAAAGGAAAAAGTTATAGGGTGAAATCCCAGCTCCATGTAAGTCAATGGGAGTTTTGCCATTGATTTCGATGAGGATTTCAGCCATAGGCCCACAGAGCCGAAGGGTGTGTGTCCTGTCATGTTGTAGATTCTAATGCTGTCTTCTCCCACTAGGGTTGCCAACCCTCCGGGATTGGCCTGGAGTGTCCAGGAATTGAAGATTAATCTTTAATTAAAGATTACGTCATGTGGTGAAATCTCCAGGAATACATCCAACCAAAACTGGCAACCCTATCTCCCACACATGTTGGATTGTAGATTTTTTCTCTTTAATCCAGCCCCTCACTCCATGATTTCACATGCCACCATCCAAACATTTTGTTGACCAAAGTGAAAGACGTGGAATTAAATATTCTTTAAAATGTCTCACTGATTATACAAGGAACTCCTCAAAACAAAACCAACAGTCTCTTCGGCATAGACACAAGAGGAATTTGTCTGCCTTGTTCGAATAAGATATAGTTTGATCATTCCTGCTAAAATAAATTGGCTCTGAGCAGCACTTTTACTTGTCTATTTTGCCTACCTGCCTTCAGATGTCACCAGCCCCCTCTGAACAAAGCACATGCCAAGCATAGCCCTGCTTTGCATTATACCATTCTTTGTAAGTGGGATTTTTTTAAATAAAAGAAGTAGTATAATGTCTGTTTTGGTAACCTCCTTATATAAGTAGCATTCAGTTTTCTTGTGCCTATCCAGTACAGCATAAAACAGGAGCTCATTAGAGCTGTTAATGCTGCACAAAGCCCACTGATCTACCATAGCCACTGGCCAGGCAAAACTTTTCAATCAGTTCTTCTTCCTTTGTCAAGTAATACCTCTCAGTGAGCAGCTGCAAGATGATTCATCGGAGAACATTTCACTATGGCAGAGAAAAAAATTACTTCTGGCTGCTTTTCCTTTGCTAAAAAGATCATGTTAGTTGTAGATCCTTTCAGAGCCCTTCCTGAGCCATCTTTTGCCCATTTGAAAATAGAAATCCTTTTATCCAAATGTCAAGAAGAATTTCTGTGAAATAAGCAGTTCAACTCTTCTGAATGCTTTCCTTCCACATTTTCTACTTGTTTCACAGAGTTGTGGTGATTGTATTTTGTCCTGCTGCAGTGAGACTCATTATTGTAATTAATGTTTAAAATTTTTAGTTTCTTAGGAACTGGTTTCATACTTAAAGAAATCTATGTTTTAAAAACCACCAGAAGACACATTGGAATTTTTTTCCATAAAAGGTTAGCTGAAAGGAGAAACTTTGGGGTGTCTTTTGTTTGCTGCAAAACCATTTAAAGGATAATGCATGGTTCAACACTGATGCAGGCATTGGTTACAATGAAATGATTTGAAGGCAAACAATCAGTCAAGAATATGACATCTCCTAAAGACCAACAGAGTGCTTCCATTAGTACATTTCATGTTAGGGATTCATACATAACTCCTCTCAACATCTTGTATTCAGCCATAAGAAAACTGGAAGAATGTATTTTCGTGCTTATTGACATCTGTAAAAGCATTTCATCCCAAATAATATTTTTTGTGATATAGGTTTTGTCAGTTAGTTTGCAAATAAATACAGAATAGCTACTTTGGCTGTCAATTTACCAAACTGACATGTCATTCAAGGCTTGTTTTTCCTGAATAATCAGTAAGTGAGCTCATCAAGATGCATAAAACCCGTGCCTGCAATGCTGTATTCATAATTAGAAAGCATACAGATCCACAAATAAATTGTTCTGAAGAGAGGAACACAGGCCTCTTTTAATTCATCTGTGTTACTTTGACCTTAATAACCCTCTTTCCTCCCCATTATCCCCAATAAGTAAATTCGACTTTTCAATAGGAGAAATGTGCCATCAAGTCATTTTAATGCATGTTATTTAGAGCAGCTATAAAGATTTACATCAAGTCAGAACAACAACTCTATACCCCCTCCACCTTTTAGACTAGCCGCTTCATTGATTCTGTGGGGTTTGCACCTTCAGCCCACCCCAACAAGCTGTCGTGTATTGAACATATGATCCCCAGCCTTTAGCACAATGATTTAGACCTTGTCTACACTACAGGGAAAGGTCAATCTAAGCTATGCAATTTGAGTTATCAGAATAGCATAACTCAAGCTGACGTGGCTTAGATCTACTTGCCGTGGGGTCCACACTATGCAATGTCGACAGGAAACGCTTTCCCGTCGACTCCCCTCACTCTCCTCGATCCAGTGGAGTACTGGAGTTGACGGGAGAACGATCTGCAGTTGATTTAGTGGGTCTTCACTAGACCTGCTAAATTGACTGCTGATGCATCGATCACCGCTCGTCGATCCCCTGGTAAGAGTAGACAAGCCCTTAGATCATGTACTGGCAAGCAAGCTGGCTCTCAAACTGCACATTCCCCAGTGAAATGCGAAGTTCCAAGGTTTCAGTCTTTTCTTTTTTATGATCTGCCAGTATCTGAGTGAACAACAGTGGCATAAGGCACAGACTACAAACCAGCTTTTTCTCACCTAAGCAACAGAATTCTTGTTGATCTTTCTCTGATCTCTTGAAATCTCCTGAAGTTTTTCTGTCTCCTGACTCCTCACTATAAAGAAGCTTTGTATTGGCCGAGAGCTAGACAAACTGAGCAGCTGAAAGTTGTAAAGAATTGTCTTTTTTGAGTACTATGGCAGGGCTTATTGTATTGGTGTCTTAGGACAGCAGTTCTCAACCTGGAGTCCGGGGCCTCCTGGGAGCTGCAAGCAGGTTTCAGGGGATCCGCCAAAATAAACCAGAGAGCAGGGCCAGCATTAGACTCACTGCAGCCCAGGCAGAAAGCCATATCCCAAGCCCTGCTGCCCGGGCTGAAGCTGAATCCCAAAGCAACTTAGTTTTGCAGGGGCCCCTGTGGCAATTGCTCTGCTGGCTACCTCCTAATGCTGGCCTCATGTTGGGGGGGAGGGGCCTTAGAGAAAAAGGTTGAGAACTCCTGTCTTGGGATATGCTCAGAGTTGAATGTTCTGGTTTTTGAACCAGAGGATATTTCCTTCTAAGTCCCTAATACACAGGGTGGCCACCATCCTTTTAAGACAAAGGCAAAAGCATTTTTGAATGAGACCCGTTACACTAGAGTTTGATGCTGTTAGTGAATACCCAAGTAGAGTAACTAAAGAGAGTTTTAACAGAGTGTGTGCTATTATCAGGAAGAGATGTATTAATGAGAAGAAATAGAGACTCGGATTAATTTAAAAGTCAATATGGTGGTAATTTTACTATATATATAATTGTAAAAAGTAACTATGTCAGCCCTTTAATACAAAAGGGTAGATCTGAGTCTATTTCATATATAAATAAAACACCAAACAGCAATTTGCTCTCAGCATGAATAGAAAAAATGCAACAAGAAGGCTGAATGTGGTTGGCTAAATGAGGAATATGCAATGAAGTTCTCAGGTGTCCCTGAAATATTGTGCTACTTCAGCTCCTCCAACCTGGTGGTGATGTGTAGGGATGAGGAAACTTTGATTTTTAACTTTACTTTTCGAAGGATGGTTTCCATGAGAGGGTAGAGTGGCGATATATACTAATAAAAAGAACAGGAGTACTTGTGGCACCTTAGAGACTAACCTTAGAGACCAAATTTGTTAGTCTCTAAGGTGCCACAAGTACTCCTGTTCTTTTTGCGGATACAGACTAACACGGCTGCTACTCTGAAACCTGTCGATATATACTAATGTTACAGGGAGATGATACTTATTACATCTCGTAGTTAGCTCCTTCAACAATAGTAGGCTGTCCTCTATGGAAATAACAGATCACATTAATGTGAGCCAACAGGGTTTGAGGGCAGGATTTTGACCCACTGTATGTGACCCACTGCTCAGTGTGTTGCAGGGTCCCCCTTTGTGACCAGTCCACAGAGGATACCGGGTCCATTACAGCTGCATACTTCACATCCTTGCTCTCTAGCTCAAACTATAACTCATATTTCTAGTACTGGAGGTCCCCAGTTCAGTCACTAGCATTGGCCAAGAGTCATTGGTCAGTCATAGCATAAATGTGGGGGAGTATCTGACATTTGAATTGAAGTGTTACTCGCATGCTTGAGATGAGCTGCCTATGTACACAGGAAGTGTGTAACCCACCAGTCAGTGTGTGTTATGTGTCTTCCTCTGTGCCTAAGCCAAAGAGGATGTGGGCCTAGCTTTATAGTTCCAGCTGGAGAGATTCATGCTTTTCGCAATGGAAGTCCCTGGTTTAGTCTCTGGCTTTGGCCAAGATGCTGGCCATCACATATATATGAGGCAAGCATGCCTTTACTGGACCTGGTATAGGCCCCTTATCTTCAGCAGGGTTGCTATGACCTTAGACTCACTCTGCTGGTTTCTAAAGCTTTGTGCCGCATGTGGTGTAAAACATAATTCCTTCCAGCTTTCCAGAAACTTATGTTGGATTTGGTAATGAAGGTCATATTTTATATCTCTGTTTGTTTCCACTGCCCTACTATGCCCAGCTCATTAACATCATTTAGCCACATCACTGAGAATAGGTGCTACTTTATAATAGTCTTTAATGGGAATGGGGTTGCACAGGTATGGAAGGGTAGAATTTGGCCTACTGGATGTAATGTAAGGTACTGGAAATCAACACAGCATGATGCACTTAATATTGCAATAACCAATAATATTGATTAAAACCATTTTAGTAATGCAGCAGATACTGTATTGTCAGCAGACTAATGTAGCGGATTCAGCTGTGTGACTTCCTGTTTTCTTTTTTGGTTGTTGAACAGACATTGATGAATGCTCAGATGGCTTTGTTCAATGTGACAGCCGTGCTAACTGCATTAACCTGCCTGGCTGGTACCACTGTGAGTGCAGGGACGGCTACCATGACAATGGGATGTTTTCACCGAGTGGAGAATCATGTGAAGGTCAGTATCCAATAAAGGGGCAAATGTCTAATAGGTCACACGTTATTATCATTCATAATACAGTAATGTGCAGAGTCCCGGCTGATATTGGGGATCCATTGTGCTGGGCACTGTCTAGACATACAGTGAGAGGCGGTCCCTGCCCCAAAGACCTTAGAGCGGGAATAGATAAGACAAACAAAAATGGGAGAAAGGAAGCATCATTTTCCCTATTGCACAGATGGGGAAGTGAAGAGCACAAGGAGATTCAGCTACTAGTCCGAGGTCACATATGAAGTCTGTGGCTGAGCCAGGAACAGAATCTCTTTGGCTTCATACTTGCTTGTGTGCAGTAATAATCGGGGCCAGATTGTGTGCAGCCCTTCTCCCATCCTCTTTGCCCAGCCAGTATAAGCCAGGCAAAATTGCAGTCCCTGCTCTTGGGAAGCCAGGATCTTCTCTCTCCCTACTCTCCATCCCAAAGAGAGCAAGGAGCTGGCTCTAGCCTCTCTGTGGACTGGCTTTCTTCACTCGCTGGCTGTAAAGGGGAGTAACAGAGAGGAAGGATAGTCCAGTGATTAGGGAGAGATTTTCCAAAATGAAATGCTACTAAACAGATGACCCCTGTATATACACTAGCAGGCTGTAAAGATCACTACATTCTCTCACCAGTGACATCACGGAGGGGGGTGAAGTAGACTGAGGAAACTATTTTTTTACATGCAGAAATGAAGCTTATCCAGCCAGTTCCTCCTCTCCAATTACTTTGTACACTAAAATATTCCTCTTTAAGAAACTTGTCCTATTGCAAAGGATGATTCAGGGGGTCTAATAAGCCATTGCTTACCCCCAGGGTACTATGATGTTGCTTTTACTGCTCATAGAATTACTGCCTTTAGAAAGCGGCAGTTTGAGGAATAACATTAGAAGCTTGGAAACACGGGAGTGGGGGGTGGTGGTGGTGCTGTGTAGAATCATTCCAGAGGCTCTAGCAAATGGGAACAGCAAGTTAGTGGGTACACAGTTATTTAAAGATGCAGCTGCCCTAGTATGAAGCACTTAGTCTTTAAGCATTTATGAGCCCCTACTCTAAAGGCTATTTTAAGACAAACGAGGCTGCGTGTTCTGTTCTGGTTTGTTTAGACCAAAATTGTGCATATTCCTTCATATTTGGTAATTATAAACTCGGAACGCTCCCACAGTGTGAGCTGCTCAGCTTCATTTAAGCTCAGGTCTGTAGGCAGTGTCAATCCCAAAGGGAAGGAATGGAATTAATGTCAGTGATGCAGACTCAAAGAATGCGCTCCACTAAGAGCAAGGGTGACCTTTTCAGTATCCCTCTTACCACTTCTTCAGAGCATTTTTACCACATTTAAAAGCCTGTACTCCCAGGTGGATTAGCTACCTGGCTATTTAAACAAGTTACTGACTTTGTAGGGCTGGGCTTCTCCATCAAGAACTGGCTAAATTTCAATGCTGGTCAGACAGATTTTAGAACATGCCAAATAGATTTGGAAAAAATTGTCTGTACACAAGTGATGCACTAATTGTCCATGAAAATATTTAGTCAGTAATCATCCAACACAAGGTTTTATCTGTGACTGTAATACTGGATTTGCCTTCTAGCTTTAACATTGTGATTTGGTGATTGTCTACTAGACATTTGGCTGTTCAACCAACTTAAAACTTAGATGTACTAAATTTTTTTGCAGTGTGTCCATCACTAAAGACGAGCATTTAAACTTCTTCTAAGCAACAGTGATCCCATTTCTATAAAAGTGAGAAGCCAAGGAAAAAGAAATACAGAATTGCTGCTAAATAGAAAGCTTTTAAGGGTTTTCTACAAGGCATCAACAGCTCTTTAGTAAATACATTCAGAAAGGGACAAGTGATTAGAATTAATTCACAAGTATTAGCAAAATACCTGGATGCTGTTGATACCCCCAGTCACTAACAGTGGAACACTCTCAAATTGACTGGTTGCCACTCTAAACTTTAAAATATGTAACAGCTCAAGGGAACAAGGGAGGTTAGATATTCTGCTGATATCACACTGCATTACTTTTTGTTGGACTGAAGCTATGGCATTGTGTTTCAAATAGGACATAAAGTCAACACAAAGTGTGATGATATGACAACCTAATTTATTGAATACAGAAAGTTGAACATCTTGGGCCCAGTATTAGTTAGACAAACTTGCTCAGATAAACTAAGAACCAAGGTAAACCTCCAACCAGAACTCTAACTGAACCAAAGCTTTTCTGAAGTTCTAAAAGGTTTATAACCTTTTATTTTTTTAATTTTTTCCTTTCTTCTGATGCCTCTTCACTTGGCGGGTTTATGTCAGGACCAGGAGTGGAAGATCCCAAATGCAGCAAAAGAATACTATGTCTGACCTGTGCAGAAAAAGAAAGCAAGAGAAATGTCACAAAAGTACAAGATTTCTAGACTAACTCTTAGACCCAAAGGGTTTTTATCAGTCTAGATAATCACCCACATTTATTTGAACGTAAGGAAAACCATTTATTTTGAGGTTTTGCCCATGTCTGAGCAGTTTAGGGCAAATTCATCTCTGGTGTAAGTTGACTGACATTCCTTTACAAGAAAGGATCTGCAAAATAAAGAGAATTGACCCAAAGCTCAAGGCCATTTTTGTCCAGAAACATTTGGTTAAGGACTTCCCCAGTTGCTGAAATATCTTTGGATTTCAGCACATCTGGCAATTTTTGCTGGATTGGCTCCCATCTTCCAAGTTTCTAATTTAGGAGCTCTTTGCTATATCAAGGGACCAGTGTGTTTGGAGGTATCTCTGACCTGGGCAAGCCTGGAATTTACAAAATTTGTATAAAGGAACCAGCCAGAGCCCAAACGAAAGGGTGTTCCAGCCTTGATTCCTTTCTCAATGAAACAGAAAGACAGGAGGCCTCTGGGAGCGGGAGGGGGGGGGAAATCAGGCAGTTTTATGGTCATGTGCTGTGATTGGGTTGGGAGGTGCGGGTTAGGAGGAGGGGGAAGAAAGACCTTAAAATGTACATCCTATCCAACATCTCACATGGGTTAGGTAAGCAAAATTTGGCCCTCAGTTAAGCTCTGGGTAGCTATTCACATTTTGCAAGATTTATCCAACACAATCCTCCAAATCTTTTGAGGCTCACACATCCCTATCTATACCCTTCAAACTACTAGCTTCCTAAGCACTGTGTTGTAAACTGGCTGCAGTGTGTTTATGTGTTTTTGGAAGATGACATGGGAGTGATAATAGTGATATAACACCTAGGTCTGAGATTGCTGTAAATTTGCAACCTGGACTACTTTCCCCCCATTCATTGTGTTCAGCAGGAACAGCTACCGAGTTCAGTCCCCAGCAGCCTCAGTAGTTTATGGCGTTTGGTGCCCCAGTTATGGCCATAAACAAAATGTCAGCAATGTAATTCATGGTTTATGGTGGTTTGTTGCAAGTCCAAAATCAAAACGCTGAAGTAAGCTTTTGCCAGGGAAGGATGATTTGTGCTTAAGCACTTTGCAGATAAAGAATGAAGTTTGATGCTGATGAATAATGCAGATATGAATTTCATGTATGCAAGTTTGTGTTTCTCTCTCTGCATTTTGAACATGTTGCTGTTTCATAGTGGATTAGAATCACAATATGGATGCCCGCTGATTTGGACTGAGGATATTTAACCTGTCTTGTGCAGGGTATTCATTTTTCTGAGTTCAGCAAGCTGAAAGTTCAGAAGTAGAAGGGTAGGAATGTCAGAAGCGCTCAGTGTTGGCCAGACTCTGCTCCCATTGGAGTCGGAATGTCAGTGGTAAAGCTCCCACTGACTTCTGTGGAAGCAGAGTTAAACTGTCATTGAAACCTTTGGAACATTCCACCCCAATGAATAAGTTGTGAAATGTGCCTGAATATGAAGAGCTAAATTCAGACCTGGTGTAAACGGGCAGAGTTCCACTTGCTGTAATGGAGATATTCTCATTTACACTTATATGAATTTCACCCAACATTTCTTATTAAAGGTGGTAGTTTTGAGTTGAATGAAGGTAGTCACCAACTTGCTTGAGAAGTGACATTACTTATTTGTGATACTGGCAGTGTGGGAGCCCTGTGTGTGAGAGCATTTTAAACCAGAAAAAGTCCCTCCATAAAAATGGCTTAACAATAATAAAGAGAATTCCAGTGTTAGAAATTAATCATTTTGTTTAAAATATTAAACATTTAAATGTTTTTTTTCTTATTGTGGCAGCCAATGTTGCAGGAGACTGGAAATTGGTTTACAGAGTAGTTAGATAATGCCAAAATACCAGTTTGGGTTCACATTGGGTTCAGTAATTTCTTTTTTATAATAGGTTCAGGATGTGTGGTGTTTTACTCACTTAGGAACATAGGGATTGTCACACTGGATTACATCCATGGTCCAGTTTATCCAATATCCTTTGCTGGCAGTGACCAGTACAAGATGATTCAAAGGGAAGTACAAGAAATCTTGCTTTAAACAGTGGGTGAAATAATCTGTCTCCCACATTAACTGTCCTACTATCCCTAATAGTTAGACACTAGTCTACATACACCCTGAAGCATGAAATTTAATATCTCTTCCAAAATCTGTTAGCATTAACTATTGGAACTCCAGATATTCTTGTTATCCATATAAATGTACAATCGCATATTGGATCTTGATAAGTTTTTGGCCTCAACAACATCCTGTGGCAACAAGTTCTATTATTTATGTGTTCTTTGAAAAAGTATTTCCTTTGATCAGATTTGAATTTGTCACCTTTCAATTTCATTGCACATCCCCTTATTCTTGTGTCATGAGATTGGGAGAACAGAAACTCCTGATCTAACTTATCTAGGCCATTCATTATTTGATATACTTTTATCATTTCCCCTTATTTGTCTCCTTTGTAAGATAAACAATTCTAGTCTTTTCAATCTCTCTTCATATGAGAGTTTTTCCAGGCTCCTAATCATTTTCGTCACCCTTGTCTGAACCCCCTTTAATTCTTCAGTATCCTTCTTGAGATGGAGTTACCACAATAGGTGAAGCCACACCATTGATTCAGATAATGGCATCATATAACTTTCCATGTTATTCTCCATCTTATTTCCCACGCATCCTAACATCTTGTTACTTTTTTGACTGTAGCTGCACATTGAGCTAGAGTTTTAATTGAGCTGTTTTGCTTTAAGAGTTGGGTTTAAGACCGATCTGGAGAAGGTTCCCTTTCCATCTTTGAAGCCAAAAGTAGTTGAGTATTGTATGAGGCTTTGAGATTGATTGTAAAAGATACACAACTATACTGTTTTTTTTTATTGGCCTGCTGTCCAGTATATAGCACAAATATCACATTTTAGTGCAATCTGTAATTAAAAACATGGGGCCAGATTGTCATAAAATTTGATTTATGACTGAAGTCAATGGAGCTACCCAGATTTGCACAGCCAAGGATGTGGCCTTTGATTTTTCAGATACATTCCAAAATTTATTTATATTGAGTAGTGCTATTTACCATATGCTTTTTCAGAATCCTAAACTGAGAGAAATGGGTGGGATTTTCCCTCTAGCTATAGGAGGAGACAGACAGCTCGAAAAGCTAAATAAAATCATTGAAGTGCAAGGCAGTGTATGCCGTTAGTTTGTCTTTGCAAAAGATGTGTGTGTGTGCATTAATGAAATGTGTCTCTAAAGTACTCTGAAATCTTTGAAATGTAATATTGTGTCAAAGTTGTTCAGCTTAATCCCCGTTGAGATTCATTTTGTTCATATATTAGACACAAAGATCTCTACAGATGCCTCTGTAACTCGAATAACTAATATGCTCTGTTGGTACCTTAGATAAATCATGTGATCCCTTATTACTGAATGAAACTATAGATCAGACTTCACCTTTCATGTTAACTTTTCAGTAGATGTGTAGGTGACTCAAAAGCACTAGGCAGAGTTAGCAAAAAAGTTTGGAAGCAAATTCAGTTGTTTGTTGCTTTGCTTGTTAAGTATCCTTTTACTTCTCATGGATGCAGGCTTCCATAGACCAATGGTCTTTCTGGGGCTTAGTATTATCTCTTGTGCCTCTTGTTTAGATGTTGTGGTTGCCTTGTTCTTGCTAAATAGCTCAACAACTTTCACTAAGGCTTGGTCTACACTACCCCCCTA